CCTGGGGTTATGAACAGGGAACAAAATCTACTTCTGCATCGTACAAAGCAGCCCTGTGCAAACTGGCTCTGCCAAAGGACCAAACAAGCATCTTTGGCTGTCACTGTCCTGTGCCAGGCGAATATACCACCTCATTTGCAGTTTGTCGGGGTTTCTCTAGTATAATCCCCCATTGCCTGCGATGTGCATGCCCTGGCTTTGAAAAAACATGTCAGGTGCATCACCAGCAGAGCCAGACTGAGAACCCAGATCTCCTCCCTCAGTGACCTGTGTTCCATCCTTCCTGCCTGGCTACCGCCCTGCATTTGGGCAACAGGGCTTGTTTCTTACATCGCCATTAGCTTTCACTTGTGTACAAGGGGTGGAAGTCAGTTCAGCTAGTCGTCAACCCTAACATGAGATGAATCACACACTAAAAATGCCTCATTAATTTAAACGTAGATGCCTATTTAGTGTTCAGCTAATTTCAGGTAAGAAAAATTTCCAAAGCGTTCTCTAAACATACATCTCTGAGTGCAATTTCTAAATGAGAATTTCACCCTTTAAAATAGTCATTACTTCACAGTACTCCTTCAGTTTTTTTTTGAAAAAAATTACTCATGACATTCTTTAGGAACTCTGCTTTCTAAACGCAAGTCTGATTACAAGTCTTCGTGATTACCGAGAAACATACTGATAGCAGCTACCGCTCTCAGACGCCACTGAACAGTCATTGCCAATTTATTTTGGGAACAAAAAAACCCACCACCACCAAAGTCTGCCTTCTTCACAGAAAGCAACTACACTGTGAAAATTTAACAGCCTTTTTGAAGGTAGAAATTCGACACATGGATTATCCGGGCCGGTTTTCTCCTTTTTGATTTAATATACTCAGGCCAGGTTAATCTGGATTTGGGTTATCTGTTAGTCTGGGTGCCCAAAAGATTAAGGTAGTAAGCAGTTCTACAGATGCCCGCTTTACTGACTGATTAATCTGCAGGATTTTATTTTTTTTTTCCCCTTCTCTCAATGCAAATGCAGTTTGATTTGGATTATGTAGGTCACAGTGCTACGCTCTCATTTCCCTCAGCTGACATGCACATGCATGAACGATGCTGCTGTTTTACCATCCGGAACACAACAGGATACTGTTGTGCTCCATGTTACTATCTCGAGTTTTTCACTTCTGCAGCTGTGCTGCAACCTTCTTGAATGAAAAAAAGCCATATGAGTGCTCAACATTTACCAATCTGGTCTGACAATCCAGATCAGCGCTCTCATAAAGTTTCTTTCTTTAAAAAGCGAAAAAAAAAAAGCCATTTTCCCAGTAGCATCCTATTTAGATGTCCCCAAGCAGCTGAAGCTAGCCTCCAAAGGACCACTTTTGCAGGTGAGAAAGCCATAAGTACTCGCCCCTCTTTAAGACTGTCATATCTATTAAGAATTGGATTATGATCACTGATTGCTTCCTACCCAGATGAAGCAGCCTTTGGACGCGGCAACTGTAAGCTCACTACATGCTTTTGCTAACCAGCAGAAAACCTGTATTACGTTCAATATCTACTGAACCAGAAGAGCTCCAATCTACATCTTGAAACTGGTAGATGAATAATTTATAGCTGTGAATTCTGTACCAGTGAACGAGAAAACAATAAAATCTCATCTTTTTCCAGTAATTCCTGCT